TGTTTATTCATTCAGGGGGAAGGGATCGCCAGGGGAGGAAGGGAAGGTGTGGTCTTTGGGGGCCCAGGAGAGGGAAAGGGAGTGTTAGGAGAGGGGGGTCCTGGGAGGCCTGTCCTCTTATCACAGGACTGCGGACTCTTTCTTGGTCCCGGCTGTCAGAGCTCTCCAAGATGGATGTCTTCCTGGGAGACCCACTGAGGTTCTTCCAACATCTCTCTGCATTCTTTGTAAGATCTCATCCGTTCACTCCCCACATAAGACATTGCAAGTTTTTGCATCCCCAGTGACGCGACGGCGCCCCCTGCTAACTGTGGCTGGAACTGCACCAAAGAGTGCTAAAAATTGAACTATTTGATTTTCTTTTTTGCCGGTTTTATCGGTTTTGTTCTTAAAGGGGATTATTGGTGAGTATAGGGGTATTGTTTGGTTGTTTTACTTGGTTTTTTTTTTCCCTTCTTTTTTCCCTCGTGTTACGTTAATACACACATACTTAATAAAGGGCTGTTATTTTTCCTTTTTCCCTTTTCCATAATTTGCTTTCCTTCAATCGGAGCCTCTTAATTTCGAATCTATAATTGCTAGAGAAGAAGGTTTGGGTCTTTTTCTCCTAATCCATCCTCAACAAAAGACCCTTGTCTCAATTAAACTGAGACACCCTCAATTGCAATTGTCACAGCTTGAGAATCATCAGCCACAGGACTCACATTCCCAGGGACTTGATATCATACCTGACTACCTGTAAATGATTTTTGGGGTATAGGCGTGATCCTTGGGACTGGCCATGGCTACTGTCTGCACTCTGGCTAGGTAGTCAACATGAGTCTTCCCCTTTGCCATTTCAGTCTCCTGTTTTGTGTGCCCGTCTACATGAAAAACACAAAACATCACGATCTTTCAGAGCATTCCAGATTTGTTCCCAAAACTCTTTATCTCACACATCCTTCATTCCTATTGTTCACGTGTCCTGCTGCCATTTTCCTAGCCAATTCACCAGCCCTTGGGCCACGGCCCAAGAGTCAGTATAGATGGAACAAATTTGATTGCACAGTGTAGCATCTATTGCTTGCCTCACGGCACCCAGTTCAGCTAGCTGACTGCTTCTTTGAGTTCCTTCTAAAACTAATCTCCTTTGGGCAGCAGGATTAAAGGCAACAGCGTGCCACTTTCCAGTCCCCGTACCACTGCCATCCGTGAACCACGCATCTTGCAGTTGTTCTGGTGTCAATTGTTCATAGGGCAGGCCCCAACATCCCATTTGGTAATTTATCATATCAGTTCCGGTGGTGTCAGCACTACCTTGTACCCCCGGACTTACTACTTCATGTAAGTGTAGGACTCCTTTAAGTCCTGGTTTGGCTCTCTCCTGCAGGTACCATTTCATCCTCATAGTGCTTGCTTCCTGATTGTGGTTACAGTGTCCCCAATTCATTGTATTGTGCATCAACTTTCCCGCACCTTGGCAAGGCCCGCTGGGAGCTATAGCTCAGCTCCTCTGCCCATGAGAACTACTAATGACTATTACTTGCAATAGCAATTGATACAAACCAACCCCTGAGTTCCCCAAAAAAAACTGAGCAAGGGGAGGAGATGGAGCACGGTACACAGTGGGGAAGCACAGGCAGACCATGCTTCCCCCCCCCCCCAGGGTGTGCCTCGGATCAAAGCGTTATGCATTCCATCCTCCTCACCCGAGTGGCCTTTTCCAATTGTGGCACCGGCTCACGTGAGACCACCGCATGAACTGAAATCACAATAGCTTATGACACTAACTTCATGCCAGTAATGTCTCTATTGTATCTTTTCCAGAAGTCAAGTTCCCAAGAGTAAAACTATATAGTATTCTTTCATACCACATTGACACACACAACCATAGGCTCACTACAGAAGGATCTCAAACATGATTAAGATCCCTCATACAGGCCTAAACCAATCAGTCAATTCAAAGCTCCAACCTCCTTCCCTCTCCTCATCAATTTCAACACCATTCCTAACTTTCTTCTCTAAATTTGGCTTTAGTTTGTGTGCAAGGGCATCCAACCACACACCTGTACCTAAGGCTTGATGTTTGCTGGCTCAAAGCATAAAGCATACCGTACAAACAACTTCTCTTTTTTAAAACTACCAAAACTAAAGTTTACACCTCAATAATCAAATAGGTTCAATGGTTTCAGCACTGTGCATCCACATTTCAAAGGATTTATGCATTTAAATTCTCTACTGGTTTTTTTTTTGTTGTTGTATTCAGACTCTCGCCTTTGTTGTTTTTTCTGTTCATTATCGCTTGGAGCTGCCGCTGCCTTCACTCTAGCTCCCCCGCTGCCCAAGCATGGCGGGGGGGGGGGGTGGTGGTGGTGTGAAAAAAGGGAAGGAGCCGCTCCTGTATTTTTTTTCTCTTCTCCTTTTTTTTCTTTATTGCTGCAGCTGTCCCCAGGTCCTTGCCAGCCCCCACGGCTGCAGCACGGTAGCCTGGCCCCAGACCGGCCTCTAAACGATCCCCAGAGCACATTCCAATGCTCCTGTATCTATTCAGGACAGCCAACGGGAGGGACACCCACCCCAGGGCCCCAACCCCTCTACCAAAAAACTCATGCTCTTTTCCATCACACACAGACCCCAACCAGCT